TTTGCATGCATATAAACCACATCACCATAGTCCAACACCGAAAGGAAACTACTTTGGATAATTATTTTTGCTTCAAAAGGAAAGCACTTAATACGAAAAAGAAAACCCAATTTAGGTCTGAGCTTTTTTAGAAGATTTTCAATATGAATATTAAAACCCAACCGTTCATCAAGCCATAAGCCCAAGTATTGATAACTATTTACTCTTTCAATACAGTTCCCTTCCAAGGTTAGAATAGGTGGAATGACTACGAGTAAAGACCATATATTTAGTTGTTAGCATTTAAAACCAATTTCAGTTTTAACAATGAAAATTGCAGTGACCGAAAGGAATCTTGTAACAGCTCTATGGCTTGATTCATAGACTGTGCAACTGTATAAATAGCATATAAATGGATTTTTGTCGTGTTTCTCTCTTGACCTAGGTCATTTATATAAAGTGAAAATAAAATAGGAGCTAAAGTAGATCCCTGTGGGACTCCTTTATTTATTTTTAATTCTGTAGAAATGAAATTCAGCTGAGACGTACTGCATTCTTTGTCAGAATTCTTAAACCAATTTAGACTCATTTTACTAAAACCCAACCAACTGAGTCTCTGCAATAAGATTGTGATCTACAGAATCAAATGCTTTAGAGAGATCATCAGAGCAGCACAGTACTGTTTATTATCTAGGCATGTAATGTCATTTGTAGTCAACATAGCAGCTGTAATAGTACTATGACCTGAGTGGAAACCTGATTGAAATTCATTTAAAATATTATTTTCCATTAAAAACAGTTTTACTTGGTCATTTACAAGAGATTCAAATACTTTCGCAATAACTGAGCCTTGAAATAGGTCTGTAATTGTCTAATTCAAAAGGGTCACCCCCTTTTAACAAAGGGAGAACCGTAGCTGATTTCCATGCATGTGGAATTTCATTTGAAGTTAAACTTAAATTAAACATAGCAGTAATTGGTTCCGCTATGCAATCTGCTGCAATTTTTAAAAAATAAGGCTCTATATCACGCATCAGTTGTCTCTCAAAGGTAAGGCAGCAGCAGACGTTGCTTAAGTTGCAATCGATCCCAATCCACTAACGGTACACTGAAGTTCCAAAATCTCAATATCTATGAAAATGCGGACGGAATCGCGGAATCCAGTCGTATAAATGGAACGTACTGTATGATGCGGAACGTCATGGAATTTGTCAAAGTTTGGATGAATTAATCAAAAGTAGGTCAGTACACTTAAATAGTCGCAATATGGACTAGTATCTGTAAATATTAAACCGCAAAAATACTATTTAAATATGAATCCAGCATGTTCTGCGTGTCTGTGTATGTAAAATGATACGCAGACGAGCGGTGTCATTTTCTACACATACAAAGTGTGCAGCGCTCGCGGTGATTTCAGCTTCTGTCGTCTCACTATAGGAGGACATAAATACATGAACACCTACAGAACTGCTCTGACTCCTCACTTCATGAGCATTGACACTTTCATTGGAGTAAAACTCTTTTACATAGACCTACAGAAACAAAGATCCTCATGTCAAAATATAAGTTCGGGTTAGCTTAATGAAATTATCATAAATATATTACTGTGTGTATGATGTACATAATACTAAGGAATTAAAGTTTTCCATCGCTACGACAGATTTCCGTCAATTGGAAAAAACGAGGGGAAAAGAAACATGTAGCACATTGTTGTTGTTCTGCCGGTGTCCTGACGATTTGTTGGTAGCATAATCTGATAGGTAGCATTATTTGTCAGAACACCAGCACACCAAACATCCTCCCCGCCACGGCTGCAGCTTCTCACTGACAACATAACGCCTGCATCATGCACAGTCGGGTTATTAGCAGAAAACAGAGTAGGACTTGAATTTCAGGTGCAGGATTGCGGCTATTACCGTAATAATAATTCTACTCATTCCGCGCTTAACGCGATGACAGATGACGGATCTTATCATTTGCACGTGCTTTTGAGTCTTGAGAACTCATTTTCTGTGCGCCCACAGATCGCGATAAGGAGAGTGACAGATTTTAATAGAGTTTGCAAATGCGATATTGACTTAAT